TCCCTACACTTTCCTAATCTACTCTTTAAGAAGTCAGCGTCATATTTTCTTGCTGTGGCAAAGCAGCACTTCATTTAATGCTTCAGTTTGCACAGGACAACAGCACAAAAGCTAGATAATCAAAACTCATTTAAAGTTCAAACCATACGCCGTGGTTTCATGGTTAAGTTCCTCTGGAATTCTTCAGCATATATCCCCAGACATGGCTGTACAATAGTATCATTCTGCTGCTGGATTTAAATTCTCCTTACTGAAATTTAAAATGACAGTTGCCTGGAATCAAAGAAAGTTCTGGTGAGAAGTCTCTTAAGCCCTTCTCTGACAAAAAGCAATGCAATGAGTTTGCTTCGTTTTTACTACACAATCTGACTTCTCCTTAGTGTCCTTTCATGTCTCTTTCTATAAGCCATATGACTTGCCAGTGACTCTGGCAAGTTTCTTGCTTTTGATGTGCAAGGTTTTCAGGTTTTAATTCACTTAGCAAACCAGTTCTCAAACCCACTGTCTTAACAGACTTCTATTTTGTTTGCTCTTTCCAGTTTTCCCTCATTCAATAGCTTCTACTTCTCAGATAACACCATCTTCCTGGTCTACGTCCCTCTGGATAGGAGCCACATCAGCTCCACATCACAGTCAGCATATGACAACACAAACAACTTAATATAGCATTTTCAAAGCCCTTTTGGCTTCCAACTGAAGAAGCTTCTCAAGACTGAGATGCTTTTTTAAGATTTAATATTACTGTAGTTTACACTTTTCTAAACATCTTTGCTCAGACAAGGTTCCTGGAACAGTCACAAAAAAGCAGCTCTGATATACATAAAACAAGATGCTGTATGCTGCTCAGGACTAATCTCAGAGTAACTTCTCTACTAGCTGAAGGAATAATTTGGTGTCTGAAAAAACAGATCACAACAGGATATTCACTCAGCCAATACAGGGAGAGTTTTCAGTTAAGTATTTTGCCCATTTATCCTCTATGATCTTCAGAAGCACTTGTTACCTCTTAAGTCAGGACTGCGACAGTATCTTTCATTACAAACAGAATT